GGTCGAACATCTTCGGGATTAAAACCAATCAAACACACCTGTATCTGGGAACAGTGTTGGGGAGCAGCTTATATCCCATCAGGGACCTCTGGGCTGACCTCAGGGAGCAGCAGACATTTTAGGATGACTCTTGCTTGTTGCTGGAAGCCTGGCTCTGGAACCCTAGCCTCTGGTCCATCCATCAGGTGAATCTGTGCCATCTGATGGATGAGTTGGGGTCAAAAGGGGTGGAGAGGGGAGATGGAGGGGGTGAAAATGCCCTCAATCCAGCCAGAGTGCCCCAGAGTCATCTAGCCCGGGCAACCTCTGTGGTCATCCACCTACATGTCTTGGGGTCCCGACCCTTCGCTTCTACTTTACAGAGAAGAGGTGTCACCTGTGGTTTGCCATCTGGGTGCTACTGAGTGACAACCAGTGTGTATTGTGTGTGTGAGACAAAGAAAGCTAGCTGGAGGGGTCAGCTGCTTCTTTCAGGGAAAGCCATTCAGTTCATGATGGTGGCTGTGAAGGGGACTGAGGGCAGAAAGGATGAATGTGCTGGGGTGGGAATCTTCCCTTTAAGATTTGCCGGAGGTCGAGGTTGGGCCTCCCCAGGGCAGGCCTGCCTGCTCCCTCATGGGCCATGTGTGACCTTCCTGCCCTAGAAAGGGGAGGGGGGACCCCTGCACAGACACTCAGACACCCCCAGCCCACCCTACTCACTCCCACCTTTTTAGTCCTTCCTTTTTCCATTTTCCTACATATTCACCCTCTTTCTTATATACCTAATAAATTTGATGATGAAGTCAATTAAGCATTGAGAAAATCACATGATATTACACCACGCATCACTAGCTCCATCCAGTATCATCATTTTGCCATATTACTTTAAAAATGAAGTGCTGCAGGTGGCTGAGATGCTCTACCTGTGCATACCTCCATCTACCTGTGCATACCTCCACCCACCTGTGCACACCTCCACCCACCTGTGCACACCTCTCTCCACCTGTGCACACCTCCATTCACTTCTCTTCCTGAGAACTAAGATGATTAACCCTATACTGCATCTTGGAGTCATCTATTTTCATGTATGTATCTACAAACACTCAATAGTACAATTTTGCTTAAACTTCATATACTCATCTCACATGCTAGTAAAGTAATGCTCAAAATTCTCCAAGCCAGGCTTCAGCAATACGTGAACCGAGAACTTCCAGATGTTCAAGCTGGTTTTAGAAAAGGCGGAGGAACCAGAGATCAATTGCCAACATCTGTTGGATCATAGAAAAACATCTATTTCTGCTTTATTGACTATGCCAAAGCCTTTGACTGTGTGGATCACAATAAACTGTGGAAAATTCTGAAAGAGATGGGACGACCAGACCACCTGACCTGCCTCTTGAGAAATCTATGTCCAGTTAGAACTGGACATGGAACAATAGACTCGTTCCAAATAGGAAAAGGAGTACGTCAAGGCTGTGTGTTGTCACCCTGCTTATTTAACTTACATGCAGAGTACATCATGAGAAATGCTGGACTGGAAGAAGCACAAGCTGAAATCAAGATTGCCAGGAGAGATACCAATAACCTCAGATATGCAGATGACACCACCCTTATGGCCGAAAGTGAAGAGGAACTAAAAAGCCTCTTGATGAAAGTGAAAGAGGAGAGTGAAAAAGTTGGCTTAAAGCTCAACATTCGGGAAACTAAGATCATGACATCTGGTCCCATCACTTCATGGGAAATAGATGGGGAGACAGTGAAAGCAGTGTCAGACTTTATTTTTTGGGGCTCCAAAATCACTACAGATGGTGATTGCAGCCATGAAATTAAAAGACGCTTACTCCTTGGAAAGAAACTTATGAGCAACCTAGATAGCATATTAAAAAGCAGAGACATTACTTTGCCAACAAAGGTCCGTCTAGTCAAGGCTATGGTTTTTCCAGTGGTCATGTATGGATGTGAGAGTTGGACTGTGAAGAAAGCTGAGCACCGAAAAATTGATGCTTTTGAACTGTGGTGTTGAAGAAGACTGTTGAGAGTCCCTTGGACTGCAAGGAGATCCAGCCAGTCCATCCTAAAGGAGATCAGTCCTGGGTGTTCACTGGAAGGACTGATGCTGAAGCTGAATCTCCAGTACTTTGACCACCTCATGCGAAGAGATGACTCATTGGAAAAGACCCTGATGCTGGGAGGGATTGGGGGCAGGAGGAGAGGGGGATGACAGAGGATGAGATGGCTGGATGGCATCACTGACTCGATGGACATGAGTTTGAGTGAATTCTGGGAGTTGGTGATGGACAGGGAGGCCTGGCGTGCTGCAATTCATGGGATCACAGAGTCGGACACGACTGAACAACTGAACTGAGCTGAACTGAAACTTCATATACTGAGTGTAGTTTGTGTCACTTTTTTTTTTTTTTTTTGCTTTTATGAAAACTTGTTTGAGCTTTTGCCTGTGTGTTGATGTATATAATCTGGTTCTTTATCTTTCTTTTGTTTTTCTTTTTTTTTTTGGCTATGCCAGGCAGGTTTACGGGATTTTATTTCCCTAATCCAGGATTGATCCCATGCCCTTTGCTGTGGAAATGCAGAGTCTTAACCACTAGACCACCAGGGAGGTCCTAGTTCATTCATTTTAACTGCTGTGGAGTATTCTATACCTCCATTTATCCAATATCGCCAATTGGTGGATATTTAGGTGCTTATAATTCAGTTTTGTTACAAACAGCGGTGTGGCCAATATTCTCATCTCACCCAGGGGCGTGGGTTTCTCAAGCATGAGAGTCTGTGTCTCTATAAGGTACCACACTGCTTTCCAACATGCTCGCAAAACATGCCTCCAGCAACATGTGAGCGGTCCTGTTTTCCCACATCCTCGAGGATTTGACATTGTCAGACTTGTAACCCCACCCCCCATAGGTAGTCTCTCCTCGTCACAGTGGCCTATTCCAGTGACTTCCAAATGTTTAAGTTGTTCCACCCTTCGTATTAGAAGTCACTTAATACATTTAATTGATGACCAACAAGCAACTCAGTTAAAACTTAACCTGTGCAGTGTCCAGCTGGGTTTCTTCCTCAAATCTGATCCTTCCCCATTTTTTCCACAGTGAAAGGCACTATCATCTATCTAATTGCTCAAGCCAACAACTTAGGAGTGGCCTTAAGACTTCTCTCCCCCAACACCCACATTCAATCCACCTATCAGTTTCCATGTCCAGTGATTCCTGGACTTCCCCCCTTCTCTCTGATACCACTCTGGTTCACACCATCATCGTCTCTTGCCCGGACCATTGCCGTTGCCTCCTAACTAGTTTTGCTGCTTCTCCTTACAAACCCCATGTAGCCAGCAGCCACGGGGATCTTTTTAGAACAAAAAACAAGTAAAATGACCATTCCCCTAGTAAAGCCCTCCAATGGTTCTCAGCTGAAAATTCAAATCCAAGGGTACTGTAATCTAGCAGATGCACAAGGTCTGGTGGCAGACAGACCACAGCCTCCCACAAACTCCCTCGCCTCTGGGACTCTGTGTAGAGGGCTCCTCCCCTGATCTTTCCTTGGCTCCCATGTCATTCAGGGCTTCATCACTTCCTCAAAGACCTGTCCTGACCGCCCACCATAGCTCAGGTGACCCTTTAGCTGCTGCCTACAGCATCATTCAATTCTCTTTTTGTTCTATAACTTCTCGATGCTAAGTGCTGTCATGGAGTGCTTAGCATGAAGAGAGCAGCCATAACATTCTGAATGAATGAACAGATGAGGGTCAACATTTTGGTACAGCCTATAGATTCAAAATGAAATTTCTTCCAGAGTCTGGGTGGGATAAAAGCTGCTTGAGGCAAGACGACAACATCTTTAAGCTAGAACAACGATTCTCAAGCATTTTATCCCCGGGACCCCTTTACACTGTGAAAAATTATGAAGGGCTTGATGTGTAGGTTACACCTACAGATATCTACTATATTAGGAAAGAAATAATTTAAATGTTTGTTTTAAAATATTGGTTTCCTGTTGACATAAGTAACATTTATATGAAAACATCTGTTAATTTAGCTGCTAAGTTGTATCCAACTCTTTTGTGACCCTATGGACTGTAGTCTGCCAAGCTCCTCTGTCCATGGGACTTCCCAGGCAAGAATACTGGAGTGGGTTGCCATTTCCTTTTCCAAGGGGTCTTCCCAGTTCAAAGACTGAACCTGTGTCTCCCACAGTGCAGGTGGATTCTTTACCACTGAGCAACCTGGGAAACCCCACATGAGAAAATAACTACATTTTTTTAAAAAATGAATGAGCAGTGACACTTTGAGTAGCTGTTCCACAGATCCTGGTTAGCATCATGAAGAGTCTTTGAATGAGTGGACGTGGGGAGGAAGGGAGGGGACTCAAGAATTCAGACCAAACTTCAGGGTCAGATGTAGCTTCTTCCCAAGCGTGTAGGCAAGGCATGCAAGACCACACAAGCCTTCTCCAAGAAGAAGACACGTTTCCCCATCTCTTCCCCTGCAGCTCCCTGGCTGCCCGCTCACCCACTCCTGCCCCCACACAACCCTCTCTCTTCCCTTTCCCCGAACAAGTCATTGGAAGTTGATTTGTCAACTGTGTGTATCTTTGAAATAGACATCTTTCTGTAACCAGAATAAGGATGGCATAAAGTTTAACCCAGGGCATCCATTTTGACTGTTCACTTTGACAATATAAATATTGAAGCCTGGTTTCACCAAGATTTGTTTATTCCTCTTTGTATTCATGTTGAGAAAGCAAACTGGGTGTCATATTTTTTACTTTATTTATGTCATATTTTAGGGTGATACCGAAACCTAAGTTCTTCCTCTTTCTCAGAAGCTGCCCCCTCCCTGTTTCCCCCCTTCTCTGGGTGAAGGAAATTCACAAAGCCAGGATTTAAAAAAAAAAAGAAAAGAAAAGTGGTCATCTCTATGCTCCTATTGAAGTGGCTGACGCTGCCCAGCTCTGGGCACGCCTCTTCCACTTCCTGACGTCACACTATTTTTGTCTTTGAATAGCTCATTGACACAATCGCCTCGGAGATCGGCGAACTGAAACAGGAGATGGTGCAGACAGATGTCAGCCTGGAAAATGGCCTGGGACCCACCGAAGCCCACAGGTGACCGAGGCGATTAGGCATCGGGGATGCGATGGGGGCAACGTGACCCTGGTAGCCGTGGGGATAGCTGTTCCTGTCGCCTGGAAGGTTTGGGAACTGGGGATGTGGTGGCCACTCCTGAAGAATCTTCTGTAGGAGGTGGGAGTGGCCTAGGAACCAGTTGTCTGGGTTCATGTTCATCTCTCCGAAGGCACTTGAACTTTACACCTTCTCCATTCCTCTTGGCATCAGAACCCGGAAACCTAAAGTTCTGTCTGCCACCTCCACCTTCTCACAGTGATGGAAACAGTAACGCAGCGGGAGCCTCCGTGTGCAAAACAGAATTCAGTGTAGCCCGTGTCTGTCTCCAGAAGGTTTAAAGGGAGCACTAAAGAGGATGGACTCGTTTTGCATTCTCAGGTCAGAAAAAACCCCAGCACCTTCCGTGGCCCTTAGCCTGAAATGTGACCCAGCGTATTGGAAATTGGATGTGGTTGTAAGTGATGAAGAAAGGCACTGGTTATCTGTGTTACGTTGTGTTCATAACGCAACAAGGTCTAAGTAGGTAGTTAAGGACTGGCATTTTCTGCAGAATGAGGATACAGAGGTTGGGAGAGGGCAGGCTAGGGGAGAGTCCCCAAACCTCTTTCAGTTCTTGGAGGCTCTAGTTCTTTGCAAGAACAGGAGGGCATAGTCAGTAGAATATGCCATGGACACTTGGTGACTCGGAGACCAGATTCATTAGCAACTTCCCCTTTTTCTCAGGAAATGGGGTTGAGGCTGCCTGGTGCATTGCGAGGGTGAGATTTTTGGAGTTGGTTTTGCTTGCGAGTCATGAGCTGGGTAGGAGGAGTCCTGCAGAGGCAGGCAAACCAGGTGAATCTGGTTGTCTGGGCAAGTTTCGTACCAGCCCTACTTGTTCCTGTTGTAGAGGGAAAACTGGCCGACCCAGGGAGGCACCCCGCCACCCTGCAGCTCAGAGTCTGTGCGTCCACACCCTGAGTCTCTGGAGGAATGTGTCCTCCCTTAGCTATGCAAATACTCTGTGCTATCTGTCTTCTCTCCTTTTATAAAAAAAAAAAAAAATACTGGAGGTAGACCAGATGGTCCTCCACTTTGCATTCTGTGACTTCTCCTTGACTATGGTATGAACAATTTTGATGGGTTCATTTTTTTCCCCATAAACGAGACAAATCCACAATGATTTTTTTTTGATCAGAGATTTTCTGCCCCATGTTCAGTGTAGTTCCAGACTCCATAGAACTTTTAGCCAGGTTTTTCCTCTTCACCTTTAACATCTCCTTTAAGGTTTTTAAATTTAAGAATGACTATAAACATTCCACAAAAACTTTTTTTCTTTTTCATGTTAGTGTCAGTTATTCTTGAATGCTACACTGGTTGGTACGGAATTTATGAATTTTAAAGGCTTTTCAAAAATGGGGAAACAGGGAAGTTGAGATTTTTTTTTTAATTTGTTTTTTAATTGAAGGATAATTGTTTTACAATTTTGTGTTGGTTTCCACCAAACATCAACATGACTCAGTCACAGGTTTACCCATGTCCCCTCCCACTTGAACAGCCATGGCACCTCCCTCCCGTCCCACCCCTCTAGGTTGTTACAGAGCCCCGTTTGAGTTCCCTGAGTCCTACAGAAAACTCCCCTTGGCTATCTATTTTACATATGGTAATGTCTGTTTCCAAGATTATCTTTAACAATGTATATGGTGTTTACCACCGGTGGACCACTGTTATAAGTACATTATAGCTGCCAGCTCATTGAATCTCCTAACGACCCTTGAAGGAAACTCTATTGTGACCCTAGTTCTGCTGATTTGGGACCCATGTGACATGGAAAAAAGCCCACCTGAGAAGCCTCTGGATTCTGTGCTGGGATCTCTCACTGACTGTTTGGAGCATGGAACAGTGACTTAGTTCTAAGCCCTCCATTTTGCCCAGTGGAGAAGTCAGGAGAGGCAGATGATGGAGAGGTACTGCGAGGAGGACTCTGAGCTGTTTTCAGATGAGGGCAGAGCAGAACTGTGGTTACAGGGAGACAGTGGGTCAGCCTGGCAGAGCACCCCGAAGGGCAGATGACCGGGAAGCAGTGGGAGTGAGGGGAGCAGAACCCAGTCAGATGAGAGCCTTGTAGAGAGAAGACACACCCTCATCCCCTACCCCCACCCCCAGACCTGGGCAGGACACCTTCTGGTGGCTGCAGGAAGGCATCCCAGTCACCTTCCTTTGTGACATCACTTATGGTGAGGGTACCTGGGCTCTGTGGGCTAACCTCACCTGCCCCAGGCAGTCACCAGGAAGCGTCAGGGTGGATGCGAGGTGAAATACCCGCTGACTCCCAAGGTTAGGATTCGGTTCTCTGCCTGCGGTGGCTCCCCTGTGGTTAATATTGAGATGAGCCGGAGGTCTTTAGCCTTTTGGGTGTCATAGAGCCCCTCCTTGGGATAATACTTTAAATGCATAAAATAAAATATGTAGCGTGACAGTGGGAACAATTGAGATACGAGGATCAGAATTGTTAACATGTGATTTCATAGCATAGGCGCTCCTTTACTGACATGTTAAAGGCCAGGTCAGGCTGTGGGTTGAGGAGCCGCTCTCATCTCCAGCAGAGATGCATGGATGGTAAAAGACGGAGCTTGACCTCTGAGTGCAGGCTGGACTGCACTGACGCTAAGAACGTCTGGGATCACTGGTGGTGATAGGGACTCGGGCTGAGAGCACTACTGAGATGTGTTGCTTGCATTCAAACTGGGAGGAAGTTAATTCCAGAAGGAAGCAGGTTAGTGGAAGTAAAGATGTCCCTTTTTTGTATCCATGGTCAGCTCACACCTTCTGTCCCCTGCAGAGACACTTGTGGGCTTCGGGGACACCAGGCTCCCTGGTCTCCTCTCAACTCGCTGCCACTGGCTACTTCCTCCTCATCCCCCTGCCCACCTGACCCTGGGTTCTGCAGAGGCTTCTGCACTATCCCCTTTCCTTTCTGAATAGGAGCCTTAGTGTCCATATCAGTAAAATGGGGACAGTAACAGAGCTTTACCTCTGAGTTGTTAGGAAGACTGAGTTAATAGCTGTGAAGCACTTGGCCCAGTGTCAGCGCATGGTAAGCACAGTATCTTGTTCACAGAGACATCTCTAGAGCAACTTCCTGTGTGACCCCATCCAGGCTTATGATCCAACCATAGGTTAAATAGAATCTTTTTGGTTCCACTTCCTCTTACCTCTCTCCCTCTCATCCATCCATTGTTATGAGCATTCCCACCTCCAGAACATTTCCAGATTCCCAGCTTGTATCCATCCCTAGGCTGGTCCTCTGTTGGATCCACATGTTGCATCCAGCTACCCACAGCCTGCCCACCACCTCTGAGCTTTTTTTTTTTTTTTTCCTTAATTTTTGGCACAGCTCCCGAGGCATGTGGGACTTTAGTTCCTGGACCAAGGATCAAATCCGTACTCCCTGCATTAGAATGTGGAGTCTTAAGCACTGGACTGCTAGGGAAGTCCCTCTGAACTGTTATCTAAGTCAGAGGGTAATCTGACTTTAGTTCATCTGAATCCAAGTCACGTCCCTCATGTTCAAAGTCCTTCAGTAGTTTTTCATTTAAAACCAAAATCTTCACCATGGTCTTCAGTCCTACGGGGATCCAACCCCCTCCCCACCCCCCACATCTCTTCTGACAGTGTCCCATGCTCTGTCTACTCCAGCCCCTGGGCTCCTGGCCAAGCAAGCTCCCACCTCCCAGACCTCATCCTACTGTTCCTTCTGCCTGGAATGCCCTTCCTGCAAGAAGCAGTCACCCATGGACTCTCCTTTCTTCTGTCCTCTCAGCTGGCTGTTGTTATTTTTTTTTAATATTAATTTATTTCTTTGGCTGCATTGGGTCTTCATTGCAGCCACCTGTGAAATCTTCATTGCATCTTGCAGGAACCGTCATTTGAGGCTCATGGACTCTCTAGTTGTGGAGTGGGGGCTCTTGGTTCTCCAACCAGGGATTGAACCTGTGTCCCTGTGTTGCAAGGCAGATGCTTAGCCCCTGGACCACCAGGGAAGTCTTTGGCTTTATTTGAATCTGTAGAACTTGTACAGACCAGAAATGGACTCACTGGCTTGCATGTGTCTTCTGCCCCTGGCACTAAAAAGTACGCTGTGTAAGAGCAGAGACTTCGTCTGTGCCCAGTGCTGTTTTTTTCCAACACACAGGATGGTGTCTGGCAGGTAGCATTACTTGGTAAACATTCAGTGAATGGGAAAATGACAGTCACCAGCCCCTTTGAGATTCTAAACATATTCAAGCATCAGAAGCCTCTTGGAGGAGCAAGACGCCAGGCTCATAAAGCAGTTAGGGGACCTTAGTTGAGTTCAGTTCAGTCGCTCAGTTGTGTCCAACTCTTCACGACCCCATGAACTGCAGCACGCCAGGCTTCCCTGTCCTTCACCAACTCCCAGAGCTTGCTCAAACTCGTGTCCATTGAGTCAGTGATGCCATCCAACCATCTCATCCTCTGTCATCCCCTTCTCCTCCTGCCTTCAATCTTTCCCAGCATCAGGGTCTTTTCAAATGAGTCATCTCTTTGCGTCAGGTGGCCAAAGTATTGGAATTTCAGCTTTAGCATCCATCTTTCTAATGAATATTCAGGACTGATTTCCTTTAGGATGGACTGGTTGAATCTCCTTGTGCGGGACTCTCAGAGTCTTCTCCAACACCACAGTTCAAAAGCATCAATTCTTCAGTGCTCAGCTTTCTTTATGGTCCAACTCTCACATCCATATATGACTACTGGAACAACCATAGCTTTGACTAGATGGACATTTGTTGGCAAAGTAATGTCTCTGCTTTTTAATTTGCTGTCTAGGTTGGTCATAGCTTTTCTTTCAAGGAGAGAGCATCTTTTAATTTCTTGGCTGCAGTCACCATCTGCAGTGATTTTGGAGCCCAAGAAAATAAAGTCTGGTGCATAAAGAAATAAAATGTTGAAGATGTGGGATAGGCCTTAAGCTTCCTCCA